GTTCGAGACAACAAAGATTTTCCAAAAAAAAAAGCCCCCGCCGTGTCCTAGAGACTGTTAAAACCTGACGGTTTCCCCCAAAAAAGGCTCTCCCGAATCCTATGAACTATTAAACCACAAAGATTTCTCCCCAGAAAGACTCCTACGGACCAGTAAAACCAGTAATTCCCCCCAAAACACTCTCCGGTGTTTTATGGACTATGAAATTCCAAAGATTTCCCCCCAAAAACGGGGTGCTCTGGTCATCCTGAGGGTACCCCACGTCATCCCGGGGGGCACCCATGTCATCCCGGGGGGCACCCATGTCATGCCAGGGGGGCATCCACGTCATCCTGGGGGCCACCTACATCATTCCAGGGGGCACCTACATCACCCTGGGGGGCACCCACGTCACTTCGGGGGGCACCCACGTCATCCTGGGTGGTACCCACGTCATTCTGGGGGCCACTCACGCCATTCCAGGGGGTACCTACGTTGTTCTGGGGGCTACTCCTGTCATTCCAGGTGGCACCTACATCATCCTGGGTGGCACCTACGCCATCCTGGGGGGGCACCCCCGACATTCCGGAGGGTACTCACGTCGTTCTCGGAGGTGCCGCAGATGTTGCAGCACTTGCACTCGATGCACTGCCAGCGGTAGGTCTTGACGGCCGCCATCATCACGGGGGTGAACTGGAGGCAGGAGGGGTGTCCTGCCGAAAACAGCCCCGTCACGGAAATCCCAAGGGAAAATCCAAGGGAAAACCCTCCCCTTCTCCTCAATTCCCACCCAAATCTGCAGCTTCTCCTGGCAGGGGGAGGCGCCGAGGACGGTTTCAGCAACGAGGATGTTCTCCTTCCCGTTTTTTTTTTACCTGATCGCCCGCAGTCCGAGCACGAAACCAACTCTTCCGGTTGTCCCGTTTTCTTGTTGATTTTGGAGTCTCCCAGGCAAAAATCGCAGTAATTGTTGGGCAAAGCCAACCCGTCGGGTCCTTTCTTAGCTGGAAAAAAAACGGGAAAGACATATAAATCACCGGATTGAAGCTTTCCACACCGGATAAAACACCTCCATGGTGCAAACACGGCATTCGGAGCAGCTTTTCCAGCAAATTCCGAGCGGCAGGGCGCTGCCACGGTGCTCGAAAGCACTGGGGAAGAGAGGTGGAGGTGATTTTTCCCATTTTTTCCGGCTTTTTCGCGGCGGGGATTTTAGCACGGGGGGTGCAGGGGCGCGTTTCCGCTCACATTTCTGTTCTTCCGACCGCTGGGAGACGGGAGTGGGGGGCTGCGAATCCTCTTTGTCGTCTCCTTCCTCCTCGGCCAAGTGGGAATGAGCGTAGTGGTAGCTCAATCCCGGCCGGTTCTTGTATCGTTTTCCGCAGACTACGGAGAAAAACGGGAAAAGTCTGAGCTCGGCTGGCCGGAGAGCGAGATCCCACACCCCCAAAATCATCCAGCGTCCCCCCCGACTCCAGGTCCCAACTCCGGGCTTTGAGCGCAGACGGTTGTTTTCCTTCTGCCCCCAAATCAGCTGGAATCGACTAAAACCACCCGGAATTGCCCCCAAATCGCCTGGAATCCATTCAAACCACCCGGAATTGCCCCCAAATCGCCTGGAATCTTTTCAAACCACCCGGAATTGCCCCCAGATCGCCTGGAATCTATTAAAACCACCCAAAATTGCCCCCAAATCACCTGGAATCTATTCAAACCACCCGGAATTGCCCCCAAATCGCCTGGAATC